CCTACTATATAGGGTCTTAGGGGCTCTGGTACCCTATATAGTAGGTACCTGGGGGGTTAGGGCTGAGTCCTGAGGCCCTTAAAAGCCCCCGAAACCTCCTCAAGAGAACACGGTTCGAAACAGGCTTTAGGGTTTAGGGTTTCGGGTTTAGGGTTTAGAGACTCCGAGATTGATCCCTCTTAAGGGTCTTAGAGGAAGCCTTAAAGGAAGCCTTAAAGGTACCCTTCAGGCACCCTTACAGGTACCCCAAGAGGAAGCCTTCACACGCAGGAGACGGCGGACGAGAGGTGGAGGCCCATCCTTGGCGTGCACAGCATTCTGATCAGCGCAGGGGGGCCTGGATTGCCAGGGGTGTGGGGGTTTAGGGTCTTTGAGGTCTTGAGAGTGCAGGGATTCGGGAAAAAGGGTCAGGGTTTAGGGTTCAGGGTTTAGGGTTCAGGGTTTCGGGTTTGCGGGTTTTCGGATTCCTACAGCCGGTGGAGTGGGGTTAGCGTTTGAGGGCTTACGGCTACAGGGGTTGTGGTGTAGGGCATAGGAATCGGTTTAGGACTTCGGGCTTCGGGCTTTCGTCAGAGATTTTTGGAAGCCGAAGTTCAAGAACCTCGGGTTTAGGGTTTAGGGTTTAGGAACCCTCGGGAAGTGGTAGTTGGAGATCCCTTGCAGGTTATGGCTTGCTAGGGGTCAGGGCTTAGGGCTTAGGGTCGCATCAGCGAAGGAGGGATCCCTTCTCGTGTTGGGCTCTCCGGAGGTCTTCTCCTTCTTCGCCGGAAGAGGAGTTTATGATAGCGGTGACCTGCGAAGTGGCACAATATAGAAGCCTAAAGAATTACCCTTAATTACCCACATTACTGTTAGGGTTCGTGATGATAAATGTACTGTAAGGGAGCCCAAAACCCTATTCTAATTATCAAGGCCCCATATATCAAGCACTTTCTGGGTGTGACCGCTTGGCCCAAGAGCTCGAGACCAGCCCCGGCGTGATGCATAGCGAGAGAGCTGCGGCAGTACGGTACCGGCAAAATTCGGTAAAGCCCGCTCCCTTAGGCCGTAATAGTGGGGATTCGTATCTTTTGGGTAGTTCTCTACATTTCGGGTCCCAAAAGAAGGCGGAACCATTATAAACCCCAAACCCTAAACCGTAAACCAAAAGCCCTGAACCGTGACCCACCAGTGGCGCACTCCATGACTCAGCTCTGCAAGCCCGCAAGCAAGGAACCCGCAGGAACGGGCTCTGATAACAGGGGGACTTAAATAGAGTAGGCTTTTGTGGCTACGATAAGGGGGACATATTAAACCCCACACCCTAAACCCTGAACCCTAAACCCTATAACCCTGAACCCTGAACCCTGAAACCTAAACCCTAAACCCTGAACCCTAAACCCTAAACCCTAAATTCTTCCGCCCCTTATGTTCGCGTTTCGACGGAAGTAGAGGGCGCTTCCCTCGACTCTCAGCTCGGGAGATCACACTACGGAGCCTCGAACCCCGGAGGGCCCCCTAGGGTTTAGGGGTTTCGGGGTTTAGGGGTTTAGGGTTTAGGGTTTAGGGGTTTAGGGGTTTAGGGGTTTAGGGGTTTAGGGTTTAGAATTTTGGGGTTTAGGATTTTAGGGTGTAGGGTTTTTTCGGGTTTAGGGGTTTCGGGCCCTGAAAGCCCTGAGTCGAAGAGCCCAAGGTCATCTCCCTAAACCCTAAACCCTAAACCCTAAACCCTAAACCCAAGGTCATCTCCATGCTACTGGATCCCAACCTGAACTCCCCGGCCAACATCGACGCGGCCGTGCACCTGAAGAATGACCCCGAGGGCTGGAAGAAGAAGGCCTCTTTTAGAGGGCTTAGGGTTTAGGGTTTAGGGTTTAGGGTTTAGGGTTTAGGGTTGAGGGTTTAGGGTTTAGGGGGGGCCTGAGGTCAAGGGACGAAAGGAGCGACCCTTAAAGGGACCCTTAAGTGATAGAGGGGGCTTTATGAGACTCTATAAGGGGTATATAAGGGTTAGAAAAGAGGGTCTTAGGATTAGGGGTCCAGGAGTCATGAGTTCAGGGTAAGGTCGGGGCCCAAAAAATACCTATACAATTTTTGGGGGTTCATTATGATAATTATAGTATAGTGGGCCCCAAAACCCTATTCTAATTATTTAAGGCCCCTATATTATAGATTTCATGGACCCTTATCTCTAAACCTTCGACCAGCATCCACCTGACAGGTCCGCCAGCTGACTCGAAAGAGCGTGGAGGGTTAGCTGGCACATGCCAGCAGCCCAGCAGAATTCGATGCTTGAGACTTCCAGGCAAAAAGCGCGACATTTGCCACCAAAGAAAGCCCCTGCAACCGTCCAATGTCCGCCGTGCGTTCAAAGTGATGGGGCACCCCAAAGGTCGTGTGGCAACTGTTGCCTGCTGTGCCCCTGCTGGCATCGCCACAGGCGCTTGACTATAAGCAGAGCCCTTTGCAGCCCCGGTAAAAATTGTAGCCTCAAAGCTTCCAGTATGCTTTGAGGGGCAGGTCCATACTTCAACTAAAGCTCGTGAGGCAATCGCCTGTGCTTTTCCGAGACTTTTAACAATTCGAAGCGGCACCAGAGTTGACTTGGAAAGCCAGCCCGAACTCGGAGACGTGAGCACATGGCTCAGGCTGCCAAAAATCTCAGGAGTTGTTATGATTATCATCATTATTATAATCATTATTAGTATTATCATTATTATTATTATCATTATTATTATTATTATCATTATTATTATCATCATTATGATCATTGTTATTATTATTATTATTATTATTATTATCATTATTATTATCATTATTATTATCATTATTGTTATCATTATTCTGATCATTGTTATTATTATTATTATTATTATTTATTATTATTATTATTTATTTATTATTATTATTATTATTAACATTATTATTATCATTATTATTATTATCATTATTATTATGACTATTATTATTATTATTATCATTATTATTATCATCTGCTGACGAACGTCCGTCAACCCTGGCAGTCCGGCGAAGGGCTACAGGGCGGCTGAAAGGGGCGCCGATTTCACTTCGATCCAAGTCGAGAGGAGTTGCTCCGAGAGGCCTCCCCCCTCCACGCAGCCCGCGTCCGGACTTGGAGGAGAGAACACATGGGAATTCTTGTGAGGAACGGTTTGGATGTAGGGTTTGGGGGTTCATATTCTGCTGCAGTTGTGCTTCAATGGTGTGGCGTTCTCATTCTGACAACTCCCCAAAGAGCCCAATACCCCTTGATTAAGGAATATGCCTTAAATTATAGGGGCCATAATACTATGATTCAAGGTATATGCCTTAATTAAAGGGTACTGGGCTCTCTGGGTCATGGGCCGTGTTGTTGCTATCCTCGCTTTGCTAGCCTCTGCAGGCCAGCTCCGGAGTTCTTTCCCCGCCGCCTCAAAATGGGCTCGAAGGCTTGGACCACAAGCCCCGATTGCTCATGTGCCTGAGTAGGGTGTACCTTAACCTACCAAAACCCAGATTTTTTGTAGGTTCTTATTATAAACCCTAATATGGAATTTGTAGGGACCCTACAAAAAAGTAGGTTTTGGTAGGTTAAGGTAGGGTGTAGGGTACAGGGTGTCTCATGCCCTGAACCCCCAACTGAGGGACTGAACCCGTGAGTTTCAAAATTCCGAAACCCCCAAAACGATCCCCGCCTGGAACCCAGAGAGCCCAATACCCTTTAATTAAGGAATATACCTTAAATCATAATATTATGACCCCTATAATATAAGGTGTATTCCTTAATTAAGGGGTATTGGGCTCTCTGGGAAACCCGGGAAGCGCTGCTGCGCTGCGTGGAGACTGCCATGAAAGCTGCCACGCTCCGCAGCAGCTGCCTGTCACCTGACCGAAACCGTTTGAGGTCTCCGACCTTCCAGGGCTATTCCTTCTTAAAGTCTATACAACATGGAGTCTTTCTGAGGGTCCTTGGAGTCTATATATGAAGTCTTTCTAAAGGGTCCTGAAGTCTTTCTAAGGGTGAATAAAGTTGCAAAAGTCAAGTGGCGGCCTCTCCCGAGTTTTATTCCGCTCGACTGCCCCGACATGTCCCTGAACCTGAACCGCAAAAGTCTTACTAAACTCTAAAACCCTAAGCCCCAAGCCTAAACCCTGATGGAACCCTTGTAGAAACCCTGAAAGGAACCCTTGAAGAACCCTGAAAGGAACCCTGAAAGGAACCCCAAACCGAAAGGCTCCTTTGGCTTCTGCTTCACTGCACAGACAGCCGAAGCCACGGCAGGGCCGAGCCAGTCGGCTCAACAGAGAGTGGCACAGTTTAGGGTCTAGGGCCTACAGTGCGGGATCCACAGCGCACAGGAAAACGCGCCATAGTTGCTGCACGTAACTCCATGTCTTATGTCGTCGGTTTCGCATCATCATCCACCATTACCATCGTCATATTCATCGCCATACTCATCGCCATACTCATCGCCATAGCCATCACCATCATCACCATCATCACCATCATCACCATCATCACCATCATCATCATAACCACCATCACCATCATCACCATCACCATCATCACCATCATCACCATCATCGTCATCATCTTCATCTTCATCTTCATCATCTTCTTCTTCTTCATCATGATCACCATAATCACCATCATCATCATCATCATCATCATCATCACCATCATCACCATCATCACCATCATCATCACCATCATCATCACCATCACCATCACCACCATCACCATCATCATCATCACCATCATCATCATCATCATCTTCATCTTCATCTTCATCTTCATCTTCATCTTCATCTTCATCATCTTCTTCTTCGTCATCACCATCATCATCGCCATCACCATCGCTATCGTCATCGTCATCATCACCATCATCTTCATCTTCATCGTCATCATCATCACCATCATCATCATCATCATCATCATCATCACCATCATCATCATCATCATCATCATCATGGCCATCGCCATCGCCATCGCCATCGCCATCCATCATCATCATCATCGTCATCCTCATTATCATCATCATCATCATCATCATCGTCCTCGTCAGGGTCAACATCGTCAGCGTCAGCAGTGACTACAGCTAGTGTTACTTTAGCACCCGTCGTCGTCGTGGTGAGTTCTTTCCATGAGGCCGGTTTTGGTAAATGGAAAAAAAGACAGAAAGAGGTGCAGGACCCCTCGATTTCGGGTGCCCAAGGGATGACCCACCTTAAAGCAATCGCTCTGAGGTTTTCGCTCGCCGGCAAGTCCGTCTACTTTATTGTCATAGATCGCTTTGCTCGCAGTGGAGAGCAGGCCGCAAACTTCACTTTCTGCGACCTGCCCGCCGACTGGGTCAACAATACTGGAGGAGGCTTCTGTGGTGGAACCATCAATGGGATTACAAACCACCTGGACTACATCCAGGCAGGATCATTTAGGGTTTAGGGTTTAGGGTTTAGCGCGAAAGGTGCCTTACCAAACCGGGCAGCGGCTCCACTTACGCGTTCCTGTGCAATGCCAGCAGTTCTGAAAACAGGAACCCACGACTGAAGCCACCTGGGGTGGCTACTACAGGGGCCTTAATAGTTAGAATAGGGTTTGGGGTATATTATACTATCATTCTGATAAGGAGCCCCCAAAACCCCATTCTAATTATAAGGATTATCACGGCCCCATATATTACACCTCTGGTTGTAGGGCTTTCGGGAAATGAACAAAATCGCAGCATTCTGGCAATCCCCACAAGACCTGCCCAAGGGCTAAGCAGCTCTAAATAAGCCCACCGGAACCCTTCGTTCGAATACCTTAAAGCCCTAAGCCCTATACCCTAAACCCTAAACCCTAAACCCTAAACCCTAAACCCCTAAACCCTTAAAGCCCAAAACCCCAAGGCCCCCAGCGCTTGCAATCTAGCTGAGAGTTTCAGACAATCGCAGGGACCCTCAGGTAGAACAAAAGGAGTCGGATCCTCAGTAAAAGGATGCCGAAAGCACAAGTTCCCCGGGATCCTTTTTATGAGGACCCCGAAACCAACAGCCACCCTAGTTTGAAGACGCCCCCCCTTTTGGGGTTTTGGGGGTTCCTCATTATAGTAATTATAGTATAATATACCCCAAACCCTTTTCTAATTATGAAGGCCCCTATAGTAGCTACCCCCTTTTGAGAAGACCCTAAACCCTAAACCCTAATACACCCTAAACCCTAAACCCTAAACCCTAAACCCTAAAGACAGGGCATGGGCTTTGACTGCCTCTGGATCACCCCGCCCGTGCAATCCCAGGGGCCTCTCGGCCTGTGATTCTGCAGGGTTTGGGGTTTAAGGTTTAGGGTTTAAGGTTTAGGGTTTAAGGTTTAGGGGTTTAGGGTTTAAGGGTTGAGGGTTTCAGGGTAAGGGTGTAGGTCTTTAGGTTCAGGGTCTATGTTGTCCTTTTTGTGTATAGAGGCCCTAATTATTATACCTAGACCCTAAACCCTAAACCCTAAACCTTAAACTCTAAACCCTAAGCTCTAAAACCCTAAACCCTAAAACCCTAAATTAAGCTCATTCTAGCAAGCTGAACTCTTGGAGTCCCGGGCTTCTGGGCTTGGCTTAAGTCTTGTGGTTCATTCCTTTATTCTTGCTTAAAGGCCTAACGATTGTGCACCACCGCCACGAGGCCATGGGGAGTTCTCAGAGTATGGGGTTTAGGATTTTGGGTTTCTGTTGTCGTGATGTTCCAGAGTTGCTTGTCAGGTTCATGGGCTACGATGCCACGAACCTCTTTCAGATCAACCCGCACTTCGGTACCAAGGACGCTCTGTCAGATAGATCCGGTGTTGGAGGCTGCAGAGTCACGATTACATCGCTCCAGTCGCAGGGAACATCCCACTAAACCCTAAATCCCAAGACTCTGAACCTTAAGCGCGTATCTCAGCTGAGATCGCCAGGAGGACTTGGTGCGCCTGTCCGCTGCGCTGCACAGCCGTGGCATGTGTCTGATCGTAGACATTGTGCTCAACCACATGCGGTCCGACCCTGAGACGTGCTGGTTGCTGTTGCTGCAAGTAGAGATTCTTAGTGAGACTGCGATGAGGCAAAAGCTCTGGGCAAAGGGGTACCCACGCTTGAAAGCAAGATTGGAATCTGGTGTCTAAGGCCTTTGCTGGTCAACGGCACTGTGAACCTGTCCTCCATTGTGCCTTTCAATGACGAAGCCTGGAAAGCAATCCCAGAGTCTAAGCTCCGATGCTCCAAACCTTCAACTCTAGACCCTCAGCCCTGAACCCTAGATCCCAGTCCTTAAGTCCGAACGCCGAAGCCTTGATTTTTGAACCCGAAACTAGGAGCCCTTAGCCGCAATGGGCCGAGCAGCATTTCAGGTCAGATCCCATTCAAAGCTCGAATCCTAGAAGAGCCCCATATCCCGTAAATCAGGACTAGCCCCTGAACTATGGAGGGATCCTTACCCTAAACCTTAAACCCTAAACAGTGGAGGGATCCTGACTATGATTTCAAGCAGCTTCATGATCGGATCTCGGGGGTTTGGAGCCTCCAGGAGAGCCACTACCACCAGAGGAACCGCTCGAGAAGTCAGAGCTTTGCCGACTACGTGGCCGCGTGGCCCCCTCCGGCCTTCAACCCTGGAGAGGACCGAGGGGAGCCTAATTGGGAATGCTAGTCGTTAAGGTTCCTTATTGTCAGCTTTGTTTCCTACCCAAACCCTGTTCTAATTACCAAGGCACCTATATTGCAGCCGAAACCCTAAACCCTCGACCCCAACCTCACCCAAATCGAAAACTCAAGAGTCCTAGACCCGAAGCTATTGCCCGAAATGGGTCTTTCGGTTGCTTCGGTCCGAGTCCCGTCAACGTCGACAAGCAGAAACTCCAGTCCAAAAGCCTAAGTCCGGAGACGCGAAGATCCGAAGCCTACTACTTATAGAAGCTTAAAGAATTAGCTATACTATCTTGGGGGCTCCTTATTCTGATTCTAGTATAATATACCCCAAAACCCTATGCTAATTATCAAGGCCCCTACATTTCACTTTCGGGGTTCATGGGTTTAGGCCTGAGGCCCGAGCTAAGCAGCGAGCACCGGTCTTTCTTAGTGCCATCCGCTGCGGACTGGTCGCTCCATTTCACCACCGGCTTGTCGACTTCGATTTAGGGTTTAGGGTTTAGGGTTTAGGGTTGCTAAAGTCTGCTGTCACTGGAAGTTATGGGTCGGCCTGTGTTGCCTCCTCTCCGCTACAGCACTTTCTCCGACGCTCCACCGAAGCTGGCTGTGATTCGTTTCATGTAGGCTTCTATTGCTATTTGCTTCAGCAGACCTTGTTCCTATTTGGATCTCCTTCTGCACAGAATGGCCGCCACCCATTGTCAGGGCTGTAGGCACCAGTCTGTAGGCCTTATAAACCCTAAACTCTAGCCACTGGAAGGCAGGATTCCAAAGCTTAACGTTCCAGAAAGGACAATGCTCAGCTGCTGACAGCTTCCCAAGCGGACTCTCCGGCTTCTTGGAGAGCAACAGAGACCAATTGAGACAATCATAAGTAGATATGTAAGTACATGCTACACCCCTCTTGTGCACACTGTTCTGCATTTTTGAGCGAGCAACATGCCACATCCATGGCTGAAGGGTGACGGGGATGCTGTAGATTGCCGTGTGTTTGGGTTCCTGTGATCACTGCTTGCATTTGGGCAGTTCTCGAAATCAGAGTCCCTTTTTAGGTCCCTAAAATAGTACGGCACCCGAAACAAAGGATCCTAAAAGGGTCCCTAATTTAGGGAACCGCCCATCTTGTAGCAACTCGTAATCGTGACTTTCGCCGATACTAGACGAAAGTTGGACCTCCCTCTGGATCATTCTGTCAGTCTTGAGGTGAGGTGTTGCCGCGAAAGTTTCGATAGACCCGTGAATAGGGGTGATTTCGACACCATCCAGCTAGACTTCCAAAGCAATCAAGACTGAAAATGAAATCCAACCGGCTGTTCAAACTGCGTATCATCCATGCACAGGGAGGCATCATTATCGTGTAGGAAACGCATCACGTCGTTGAAGCCTACGGAAACAACACCAATTTGAATTTACCCTCCTCAACTCAAGAATCGACAACGACAGCCAAAGCCCGAATTGAATCTTCCAGAATTTGAAAGGCCTTGTGTGCCAATCGTCATCTCGTTCGTCCGTTGGATTGAAGTCAACCCTAAACCCTAAACCCTAGACCCCTGAGCTCTAAGTAAACCCCAAAAGCTGACTAAACGACTGCGGGCCTCAGCGCAGGCTGTGTGTGGGCACACGGTCGCAGATCACACAGTGCCTCAGCCAATGCAATGAGATGGTTTAGGGTTTAGGGTTTAGGGTGTAGCTTTAAGGCGTAGTCATATCTCAGATGCATCCAGGTTTGCAGGGATTCCGGTACGGACTGCGGGACGTGCCATGTGGACTTTACTTGTTTTTCTCAACAATCCCGATCTCTTAGGCGGTCGCCTCTTTCTAAACCGCTGAACCCCCAAACTCTAAGTACCGAAACGCTCATATAAGCTGCCAAGACCCCTAATCCCAACCCACCCAAACCCAAACTCGCACACAAAGCATCAGCAACTCGCATGCGAGTGCTCCATCGAGTCCATCGAGTGCCCCCAAAGCCCGAACCCCTTGAAGACTGAGGCCCTAAACCCTTCATCCCACCCATAAAACCCCAATGGACAGCCCAACGATAGCTTGATAAGGCCCCAACACAAACCGGAAGAGCAACATTAAGGCTCTGAGTCCTACACCCCGAAGCCCCGAAGCCCAACACCCTAAACCCTAAACCCTAAACCCTAAACCCTAAACCTCTAAGGAGTGCACCCTAAAGCCTAAACCCTAAACCCTAAACCCTAAACCTCTAAGGAGTGCAGCTGCTTCCCGGGCAACTCCGGTCCGAACTGCCCCTCCTTCCGAGAGGATCACCTCAGCACAGGCCGCCCCTCCTGGAATCCTAGGGTTTAGGGTTTAGGGTTTAGGGTTTAGGGTTTAGGGTTCGGGATGTGGGGTTTAGAGTTACGGACTGGAATCACGATCTAGCTTTCACGTTTGAGGCTCGCGTTAAGGGTTTCAGGGTATAGGTTTAGAGTTTCGGGGTTATTATATCGCACCCAACTTAATAACGTGTCTCGCATCATGCCATCTTGCGCAGTATACCACCCATTCTGTTCAATTACGTTCATCATACAGTACCATTTTGCATGCAACATTACATGTTGTATACATGTATGGCCTATGTGGCATGTCTCATATCATACTACATATACCAAGCTATATTCTGTCAGTTATCTGTATATATATATATATATATATAGACTCACATACACATACATGTGTGCACATAATGCATGTATGATCTTGTACCATATCAAATCAATGAGCTATGCGACCTGTGAAATGACGTGTATTGTACAGGCCATACTGCATTGCATGTTTTTCTTTCTGCGATTATGTCTTTTTCTAGTTGTATACTACAACACAGAAGACTATTAAAATATCATGTGTTGTGTCGCACGTCCCGATTATGTTTTTGATTATTTTGCAATGCTATCTTACACCACGTGATAAACTGTGACAGTAGTTGTTCTGCTGTTACTCTTAATGCTAACATGACCCATTGCATGGGCCGCGACTCCTCGTTTCTAAAGCTCGAGCCGACCAGCCACGCCCGGCGCGTACTTTAAACCCCCGAGTGTGTTGCCAGGCTTCCCGAACATGCCGATCCTTCTGCATCCAGTGTCCTGCTGGTGACATCATTGTTCTTTTTGTCCAACGCCCACTGCCGTGTGCAGTGCTAGTGCAAGCACTCCGAATACCAAGACGACGACCACCGTTTGTTGTGATTATGCTTCTATTCTGCCCGGCCCACACGTGCGGCATTTGCCTCCATCCATGCCAGAGTTCCAGCCGGCCGGCTGTTCGGCCGGCCATCCAGCCATCCAGCCGTCCAGCCATCCAGCCAACCATCCATCAATCCTTCCATCCATCCTCTGTTTCCCTTGTTGTTTTGTCTTCCAAGCATCCTCGTCGCCCGGCTGCTTTGGATGTGAGAGAAGCATCAAATATCAGACAACGACATCAGTGGGGGAGCAAAAGGACAGGTTCTCCGCTTAAGACGCTTCACACAAAAACCAGTCGGGGGGCTTGAACACGGTTTGCCCCAGTGACCAAGCGCTTGTCAAAGGCTGGCTTGGGGTCATGGGAGCATCTCGGCAGCATGCAGACTTTGAGGCTTAGTTGGTGCTTTCAGTTGCCACATCCTTGAACTCAGTATTGAAACACCTCGAAGACCGCTGCTTCAGCACAGAGCAAGGACTTGAACCAGAGCCACGAGTACGTTCGTGCGCAGCTTCTCTCCTTTGTGGAGGGCATGGTGGTCAATTACAGCGCGCCGATGCCAACTATTTTGGGCACCCAAGCCCCCAGCTGAAGCCCCAAAGCCGTAAAGCCACAAGACCTCAGTCTGAGGACCTTCCTCGTAGGCATCCTCAATTTAGGCCTTATAGGGTTTAGGGTTCAGGGTTTAGGGTTCAGGGTTTAGGGTTTAGGGTTTAGGGCTTAGCCCTATAGGGTTTAGGGTTCAGGGTTTAGGGGTTAGGGTTTAGGGTTCAGGGTTTAGGGTTTAGGGTTTAGGGCTTAGCCCTTAACACCCCAAATTAGGCCTGGATGCACTGCGCCTGGACACGGCCATCTACCTCGAGCGAGACTTCCTGCCCGAGATCCAGGCCGCCAAGGGGCGCTCAGGGTTGTACGGTTAATATAGGGGCCTCAACAATTACTAATACTATTTTGGGGGTTCCTTATTATAATTATAGTATAATGGCCCCCAAACCCTATTCTAATTATTGAGGCCCCTGTATTAGGGTTCTGTACGAGCCCAAGAAGGGTCATAAGGGTTCGATGAACGTACTACACGGGTCAGTTTAGAGGATGTGATGAATCGTCTTGTTGAGAGTCCATGCAAAGACGCGGAGTCAGATATCACGGCAAGGAACTAAGTGAAACAGCTGTCTCACAAGATTGACTGCAGTGATGAGCTATGTGGAGACGGGTATCAATCAGGGGCTTGCTTCGATGTAATGGCTTGGTTCCGGCTGTGTGCGCAGCATGTGTGCCAGAGGCAGTGGCTGGCGTGGAGATTCTGGGAGAGGTGGGACATAGACTGCCCGTAAGTCGAATGGCAGTTGACGCTGGAGGTGTCAAGTGCGGAAGAAAGCCTAAACCCCCGAAGCCCGAACAAACTCCTCACCCCTAAAAAAGACCCTGAACCCTAGACCCTGATAATCTACCTTGAAGAAGCCCTTAAAGGAACCGCACAACCAGGCAACCGTCAACAACCTGACGTACCAAGCGGGCTTGATGCAAGGCAAGGCTCTAGGAGAGAAGCAGCAGTTTTGGTTGTCCATACATAGAGGTTAAGGGTTCACGGGTTCTTCAGGATTTCAGGGCTCCAGGGTTGAGGGGTTCAGGATTTTTGGGGTTTTGGGGTTTCGGTATTTTCTCTCCGAAATGTTTTGTCCGTATGCCTCGAAACTACAAGCCAAGCCCTTAAACCTAAAGCACCAATCCCAACAAACGCTAAACCCTAAACTCTGGAGAAGCGTATCGACATCGAATCGTCAAAATGTTAGGCGATGGAATCCGTGAGAGAGAGAAGAGCACCAAACCGGAAGACTTAAACCCTAAACTCCCGTAAGTGCAAGGCATCTGCAAGTGGCCTACAAGGGCTCTTAAATGGCCTGAACCCAACCCTTAAAACTCGAACCCTTGTGGATTCCTCGCCGACCTCTTCGTGGAACCCTCAAAAGGAGCCCCCAAAGTCATCCTAAGCCCTAAACCCTAAACCCTAAACCCTAAACCTGGAGCCGGCAAAGTAATCCTAAACCTTGACCCAGGCCGGGGCCACACGGGCCTCGCCGGGCTGCTGAACTTCCCGCCCTTCTACAAGGCACCATCCAAGTGGCTTTCGGTTTAGGGTTTAGGGTTTAGGGTTTAGGGTTTAGTTTCAAGATCCGAAACCTCAATCCGTAAAGCCTAAGCGCCCAAACCCTAAACCTAACCCGCTCAACTCGGGATGTCTGCCGTCGGAAAAGCTGCTCAAGAAGACAAATCCTGAAGCCCTAACGCTCTAAAAACCCTGAACCCTGAACCCTGAACCCTCAACCCTAAACCCTAAACCCTGAACCCTAAACCCTAAACCCTAAACCCTAAACCCTGAGTCCTGAGCTTTAAGTCGGCAGGAAGCAGGCAAAGTTCCGCTTTCC